TTCAGGCCCTTGATATGTGAATTTAACAGCTGTGATTCCTCAATAATCACTGAATCAATTACTTTGTAACTTTCTGTGCTTTTCCTTCTTCGTCTGTTGTTGTATATTGAACAGGAGTATACAGGTGAGCAGATGAATTTAATAAATCCACCATTAGAACAAACAAATGTTATTAGTCGTTCGAACTCTTGAATTATGCACTGTGTTGCTTTCCCTTTTTCTCGGTATTGCAAGTCCACAATATTTGAATGCTTTTTAGTAATATCATTCGTTCCTGTCCACACATAAACAACAATAGGAATTTTGTGATCCTTGCTGTGTTTCGGATAGGCCTTAATGAAATTATCCACTACTGTTGAAGTCTGTGCACCAGAATATGACAAAATAGTCAGTGGAATGTTGAAATTAGTCCTACATTGCTCCAAGTACCTGCCTTTACTGTCAGATATTACTGCAACACGATCGGACTCAGTAGTAGGTACAGACAATGGATTCTTATCCAAATATGACGTTAAATTAATAAGACTCATGTATAATTATGACGAAATGGACACAAAATGCAAAAAATAAAAATTAAGTTTTCTGAAACAGACTATAACTGATTTTTTTCTATCGGGACATTGCTTGTCCAGCACAGTACTAATGAATATATAAGAAATTGAAACAGACTGTAAAAGTGAAAACAGTTATACACAGCTATAAATAGTAATTAAACACTAATACATTAATTGTCAAAATGAGTAATTATTACAAAGAAAATGTTTATCAACAATCAAGAACACAGGAACCGTCTCACCCGATCCACAACGCAAAACAAAGCTCGTAACCGAGGGTCTCTACTCGAGGTGTCCCTAATCAGTCAAGCATAAGCTTCGCACCAAGGTCAAGGATGCCGACTCTCAAAAGTTCCTGGAAGTGTTTGTTAGTCTTCGTAAACGCCGCTGCCACCAGTGTGATGCCTCACGACGATATTACCTCGTCTGCAAGGCGTTGTGGGTCCCGTTTGGCACCACGAGAAAACAAACAACGCAACAACAATGGCTGGCCGTGAAGACTCTGGTTTATTCCGCGTTGACATGCGCACTAGTTCACATGCATACACGTAAAAGCGGCAAATTTAAAATGTTCCGCGACACACAGCCATGCATCCTAGATCACTACACTATGAATAAAAGAAAAATTTACACGGAGGCTCCTGAAAAAGTACAGGGAGAATAAGACTAGGTGTTCCGGAAGAGTGAGCGTCTTCTGCTTCATCGATGACACCCTTTTCTTTTTTAAATAGTCGTCTTAAATTTGAAAATTTGTTGGAAGGAAAATACAAATATTTGGCAATAATTGCCGTTTGTAATGTTTACTTAACACATATAATAGCTGAAAACCACAATCTGGCAGGTTATTAAACTTTTTTTCTATTTCTGAACCGTGTGTACTTTTTACCTGTACAAAGTTTGCCTGTTCCGTTCCTTCTCAAGTTACCTTGAAACGACGGCGGGATTGTATGTCTTATACTAAGCCTAGCCAAGCTGACAACAATACTGTCAAAATATAGGAGCAATACAAATATCTCTCCTACTTGTGTGCCGGTGATAAACCACACAGAAATCCTGTGCATATATTATCTTATTGTCGTTTCCTTCTTTAGTGGCGAGTTTTAAGATCTCATTAAGTAAATTAATTCGCAATATAAATTGCGCTTACAATATGTTTATTCATGATAAATTCGTGTTTTTACTCGCCAGTTATACGTGATTATTTGATGTATAATACAAATTTGAAATTATTATTTTTTTGTATACAAGTTCTCGTCAAAACATCGTCACGTATTTCAGAGTTCACCTACTGGGCAGTTTGTTTTCGATCATAGATTGTATAGAACATCTAACTGTCTAGAAACATATATATAACTTTTACATGTCTTTTACACAGAAAAAAAACATCACGCACCCGTTACTTATATTTCACCGAATACATGGATACATCACGTGTTGAGCTGACACAAAGCTTATTGTTATTTTACTTACAAATCTCTATATGGCTTGTCAATATTGTAGCTCTTAATCAATATCCATGCTACTTTTCATATTCAAATTAACAGTAGCCATTTGTTTTCTTATCGGTAGTTTTTGGAATTACAATCGAACCCAAGATGTTATCTGTATCTTAACCGTAACAATAAACGATAACCAACAACGAGTGTTATGCGGATGTAGCAGCTAGTTTGGTAGGTCATCGAGTTTATCACATCATACATATAATAATATGCTAATAGCTGTTGCTCTGAGGATGTCCTGGGTTACTCCGTGTTTATATATTTTTGTTTTGCTATATTTATCTTTCTGTGTTTTATTCTTTATTGGAAAAGCCTTAACCACCTCCAGGAGTATCCTAACTTTTTATGCTGGTACACTAAACCTATTAAAATGATTATAAGTGTCTGTCTATGAATATGGTACAAATCTACTAGTGCTGATATTTCAAAACACAAACAATAACATTTTCCCCATTTTTTTTCAGAATTAACTGAAATGCCCAGGGTTGCTTAAAACACCCCCGAAACCAAGATACTAGTGATAAAATGTCTTTTAAGAGATTGTAGACTAGAGGTATTTAATTACCTTGTCGTTTGTGGTTTTTATGACTTCTCAGATTTAACAGTTTTATGGGCCTTATTTATTCGGCTACTCAGCATATTCAGTTTCAATATATTATGTTACAATAGGGAATTATTACAGTGAAGCAGGCATGGAGGATGGACAGTAGGATCTGCACTGACATTCAATCTAACATTAGAAGCAACAAGTAGAAATTTTGTTAGCTTACTTAATGTTTTCTTATTTCTAACAGAGAGAAGATTGCTTGTTTGAACATAGATGTCCGTACTCTATAATATCTATCAGTGTATTGAGTTCTAAGAACATTATAAAATGGACAGACAAGAATAAAATGCAATTCATCTTCAATATCTGTCAATTTACATTTTTGACATATTCTTTCATTTCTTGGTGTACTTTCATATCTTCCTCTTCCTATACAAAAGCATCAATAAAGCGTTGTTTGACGTCGAGTATAAACTGGCGTTTACAACAAACATTCCGGTTAAACTAAACATATCCAAAACCTAAAGACATTAGTTATTACATTACTGAGCCAATTTGTCTTTGAATAAGATACAGATAACACGACATTATACAAGGCTTTCAAGATACAATTTTCTGTCTCCAAAAGTTTCTACACAATTCAGAGTACAGCATGTTGTTAGGAGTATATTTTCTTACCTGAAACACACGTCTGCAAAAATCTGTATGTATTTTTTCAATGTGTGGGGCCGTTTGAAAAACCCAAATTTCACAACCGTAGTTCATTACACAAGAAACATAAGTATCAAAGACATCTAGTTACGTTTCAATATTAAAAAAGCACGATAACGTATATTCATCAGGCGATGCACACATTTTCGCCCCTGTTGGCCAATAATACCTGAAGGTTTTATTAAACTTTGCCTAAATAAGTGAAATACCTAAATAATTAAAAGAATCAACAATTCCAGTTTCTTTTTCGTGGTAATACCATCTATTGTTATATGACAGATTGCCAGAATGGCTGAAGACAACATTTTTGTTTTTGGTCACATTTACTTTACATATTCCAGGCAGCACTATAATTATTTAAAGTATTCAGCACAGTTTGAAGCCCTTCCCTAGACTCAGAGAACAGCTCGCCAGCATGCATAAGCAAATATAATGATCTATCACTTGCTTCAACACATTCGTTTGTATTTGAAAGCAATTCATTATAAAAAAACTCTGATATAAAAAAACAAAAAGGTAGATAACCCTTCACTTTGCATTAGAAGAAGGTATATAACTCTGAATTGTATTTCACGCGTGACTTAACTTTATCATAAGTAGATTTTATAACAGTAAACATTTTGCCAGCTAGTCATAGGAAGACGGAATATACCGATGACAAGACACGGAGAAAGGCTATATATAGCCTTTGTCCGTCGATCAGTCGAGCGTGCATGTTTAATGTCCGATCTGTATCAGTAGTTAGCCTAGGGAACATGAAATATGCTGGTCGCATACTGTGATAAATCATGTTAGCCTACAACACGTTAACAGTCGTACTGGAGAGTAGGAAACAATTTTATAAACAAACTTCATAGATTCTGATACTCTAGGCTCCTATTAGCACTGACGAAGTCTTGTGACAAAATAAGCAGAGTAATGTTAAAGAAATGCTTTTATTCCCATATCTCATATCATGTTTGTGAATGTAAAAAAAAAAAAGCGATGTAAGAAAATTCTATCTTACATAGGTTTTCACGTGCGCGGGATAATCTGCGTTCAGGGGAGACAACAGCGTTCTAGTGCCAAAACAAAAAACCGTGTTTTGCTCAAACCACTTTTTTATATCCAGTATGAGAAAGGCTGGAATGTTTAACCTCCTGTATTTAAGGAGACCAGCTTCACTACTTTAAAAAAAACTAGTCAAACATTTAACCTGAATTGAAGAAAATTCCCCAAATCCTTTTTAATCTTTTACAGAAACTTTCTCATCAAGGAGTTGACAATGTATGTATGTGTATTTTATAGTAGGTATTCATATTTTACTATTATTTCTCCCCATATCTGTTGTTTTTAATTACCAATTTAAGTATTTGTATATTTCAATAACAAGAGGACCAAGTGATAGATGCCTTAAAGATTATTATTATTATTATTATTATTATTATTATCATCATCATCATCATCATACGTGGCATGCCAGTTACGGCAAACCGATTTCAATTTTTCATTTCCAAACTTGCCATTATTACGACTATACTAATCTCCTAGAATTACAGGCAAGTCCAGGAGGGCGAAACAGCTGTATGGGACAGTTAACTCTCTAACCTGGCTCTACGGTATCTAATTATCAAATAATCACCTGAAAAAGATCTCTTTTTCCCCACTGATGATGACTTGCATCATGTTTTCTATTCTAAATGTTTGCAGGGATGGTTAAAAGGTATAATTGGTCCGTCGTTTCCTGAGATCTTATACCTAACAGACACCTCATTGCAGCAAGGATCAGCCTATCTGACAGTTCTGTACGCCTGTAAGATAATTGGTCATGCCTTTGCCGGATTGGTGTACGACCGAATGGACCGAGACTTATATAGCGCTATACTGGCCGTCGTCAACGCCCTTGTGCTAATCGTCTTGCCATGGTGCCGCGTGTATCCCATCATGATAATGATGTATGGTTTACACGGTCTGGTGATTTCAGCCCTAGAACTCGGTAATTATAATGCTATATTTAGATAATTGACCACCAGGACATTTTAGATGAACATTCGATGGGTTGCAATTACTAACGAAAAGTTTCGAAAGGAGATAAATATAAATATATTTCTTTATTTCGAAATAAATTCAATCGATATCTTCACTTCATTTCCAACAATATTCCAATCAATACCATGCACCATCAGGTATCATTACGTAATGTCCAAATCCCGAATTTCCATTTTGTAGATCGAACGCACAAACGTATCGGCAATGTTTCATTACATAGATTAAAACGAATTGGGGTACAGGCAAAAACCTTTGGAAATCCTCTGTTCACGGGGACATAGTTTGTGTTCAGTTTAGCACCATTAAGTCCAATAAGTTTCGATAACTATAATGTTATTTACTCTTACATCTGCTTTTTCACAAGGTCCTACTTTGCGTTATTGTCGTAAATGAAATACAATCACAAAGAAATAAGATAAAAGTAACATTTAGAAATGGTAAATCATTTTATCCTCACATCTATTTTGCGTCAAGCTTCTGGTGAAACCGCGATAATTCGCATTATCGACAATATGAAATTGTCCAAAAATTAATCTATACTGATTATATCTACAAACAATATCTACCTCACATTCCATAAGACAAATAATCTATGTATGTACTCCAGTGAATATACATATTTATGACACTCAGATATTCTTATCAAATACGCTTATTGAATATATAAACATAACCTTTCGGAGTATAAAATACCCTGTTCTATGTTCCCGATATCTACTTCCAAAGCTTCCATAGTTTATCTTGAATCTCTGCTGCCTTCTATTGGATATTTTACGTCCATTACAACCGTTGTCATTAATTGCTTACATGTTTTTGTTGCAGGATTAATAACAGAATCTGTGAATTTGTGGAACAAGGAAGCACGGCAGATCTACCTTCAATTTACAACATTTATCTTTGCAATTTCGACTATCGTATCACCCCTTGCAATTATTCCGTTCCTTATGACAAATCTGAAAACCGTAGCGGGGAATATAAATAAAGGAATTGAAATCAGAAACTTACGAAACGCTGCAGACGAATTTAATAGATCTGAAACTCAATATATTTTTGATACAACGAGCATGTCCTTTACCACCAATATTGACAATCAGACGTTTTCAAATATCAGCATATCATCCACCGCTTTAAACGACCAGCACTCAGTTCTTTATATAGCATTCATGCTGGCTGCCTTTCTTGTCATATCTGGAGGAATCCCGTTTGCGTGTTTTTATTTTTCAAAAAAAAGTCCTGCAAAATTACCAAAGCGCCAGAAGGATGATATATCAAACGATATATCATTATTGTCAAATTTGGGAGAAGGACAAAAAGCCGACTGTTCATGCCATCATACAAAAGAAACAAAATCTGATGCAGAAAATCATGACCTTTTCCCTGAATCAACCCATGAAGAGGTTGATAGAGCCTTGTCGAAGACTGGTGGTAATCTCTTATTTAGTTGGGCCTCTGTTTGTTCTCAGCCGCTATTCATATTCATGTTTATTATCATATGTGTGTTTGGAGCTTTACACAGCGGACTGGAAATTGCTATGAGTGATTTAATGCCTACACTCTGTCAACAGTTTTTAAACTGGCCCGCATCCCAAGCCGCCATTACAGTATCGTTGTTATATCTATTCCTTACACTAGGACGGATCACGTGTGCTTTCCTTCTTAAGGTAATATCTTTAACAAAAATTATAGGTATCTTTGTACTTTTTATCATTGCCGGAAGTGCTGTTTTGTCTATGAGTACAACTTTCAACTCAACACCAGGAACCTGGATTTCCATAGGAATTATCGGCCTTGGAATTTCTGCGTGTTATCCGTCACAGTTGGGTTGGACAAGTCAATATCTAGTACCATTGACCGGTAAACTGACAGCTACACTTCTATGCACGATGTATATAGGTTCGGTGGTAGCGCCACCCGTGTTCAGTTTTTTTATGTCAAACTATAGTCACTTATTTTTTTGTTACGGTATGTTATTCATGTCCGGTGTCGCTTTTATTTGTGTTGTGTTTATGGCAATTTATGTTTACAGACTGGAAAAGAAAAACAACATTACTACTTAGAGTAGAAATGCAACATCCAGTACATGCAACAGTTTTTTTTTTACCAAATTTTGGCGGTTAATTCAATTTGAAAAGTTCGCGAGATCGATATTTCGCGCTATCGATGAGACGAGAATAAGACCAAATGTACCGAAGGAATAAGCGTATTTTTCTTCATTTATAACGCTTGCCGTGAAAAGATCAATCCAAATGAGTAATGGCACGTTCCCAAATCAGAACAAGTTTGCCAACGACGAAACCGCCAGGTTTGTTAAAGAAAAAATGAGAAGATTTTTTCATGTGATATTAGAATATAACCATCAGAAAATGTTTCTGTATAATTTAAGAATTAAAAAAATGCATAGCTTTTTTTCTTATTCCTGTTATTCAGTTTAATACTGGGGAACTTCGTAAGAAATGTGGCCAGGCGGATTCCGGTTTTGCATGTCTACTGATCCGTTTTGATTACAAAGATTTCATAACGACCTACCCCATTTATTTAGAAATCTTCATTTTATTTGTACGATATAAAGTTGGACATGTTTGGTGCTCGTTAGTTGGCCTGTTGGTTACGTTGTACGATATAAATTAGACATGTTTGGTGCTCGTCAGTTGGCCTGTTGGTTTCCGTTGTACGATATAAAGGTGGACATGTTTGGTGCTCGTTAGTTCGCCTGTTGGTTTCCGTTATTGTTTACTTTGTTTTCAATTGAGAGCTTACATTTAGATTGCCCAAGATCTACATCATGTTGTCGATGAAACAAAAGACGCTTACTCTTCCTGGACACCTGGTCTTATACTTTTTCAGGGATTGCACTGTCAATCTTACCTCATACCTAATCCTAGTTTTACTGAGGTGATATATATTTTTACCTTGTTTACCTTGTTAGAAACACGGACTGCAGACCATTTTACACCAGTAGCAGCTTTGTTCAAAAGTATTTTCTCACATACAACAAGCCTGAGTTCACGTGACAACAATGACCGCACGCTATTAACAGCTCTCCAGGTAAACCTTGGGATTTATGATATTTTGCCATTATGTGAAGTCAAATTTTATCATACCTTGATATATTTCGATGTGAATTTTGGAAAACTCCAGAGAAACGATGTTTTTAGCGACCTGAAAGTTGCTTTTGTGGCTACGTGTTTTGAACTGCGTACCCGAGTACAGGTGACCTTCACGTACAAGCACCGGTGAGCGAGGTGAGTGAGTACTTTATTTGTTTACAACATCTGCGCCTATGTCGGTCATTCTTAACCCTACACTGTACAAAGTATCATTACGTCGACGCAACTCACTACCTGATATGTCTGTTATTTCTAGTGACTCTGGGAAATCTACAAAGTCTGCAAAATCTACCATGTCCACCCCAAGCAAACCCCCCGTCGGAATCGTTCGTTATACAGAGCCAGGGTCAAGTCATAAACTTAAACCAGCTCGTCCAAGCAACTATAACATCGCCAGGTTTTGCTAGCAGTATTGCCCCATCCTTAGCTCTGGCTCTTGGTCCATCCATTAACGAGTTCATTGTATCAGCTATGACTCCCTTCACTACTAAAGTTTCTAAATTAACCGAGGAAATGGCTGCTCTACAAAGTGACAATAAATCTCTCAGGAGTAAGGTAGAGCAATTAGAGTCCAAGGTTGATAATCTAGAGTCCTCTCTGGAGGAGCTTGAGCAATATGGGAGGAGGACCTCGCTATGTTTTCACGGAGTCCCGATGAAGCCAGAGGAGACCCAAATGACCGACGAGAAAGTAGTAGAACTATGTGTCTCGAAACTTGGTATTCCTATTTCTACAGACGACATCAATAGGTCACATATCATAGGCAAAGTGAGGAATGGCAAAGCTCAGATTATTTGTCGCTTGCGAAACTAGACGCTCAAAAATCAATTTTTTCAGGCAAAAAGTAAGCTGAAGGATTCCAGACTAGGCATTTTTATATCGGAAGATTTAACAACACATCGTCAGGCTCTGATTCAAAGTCTAGGCAAGGCCAGAAAAGAAAAAAACATTCACTCATATCGGACAAATGACGGACGTGTATTCTATAAACGAGAGCAGAATTCGCCCAAAGTCCTTGTCAAGACCTTCAGTGACATATCCGACCTTGTACCAGAAGGCCATTGAGTGACTGTCATAGTTTACACAGCCAAACATTACATAAAGTGGCTTTCCGGAAAAAAACCCTCACAAATATGTAAATAATAAATCAATACTTTAATGATATATATATATGATTTATGTATTCATGTACATGTATATATACAAATATACGTATCAATATGCAAAATTAATATTACTTGCCATTCCGTGTACTGACCTTAAACATACCATTTATTACTGTATTTATTGCTGTACTCTATACATAATGTATAATATATATACATAGTATATAAGGAGTCCGTACTACTATGGTTGGTACATATTCTTGTATATAAACATATCTATATATAGTTGGATATAGTTCATGTTTATTTTAATATACATTTATTGAACACATCGAATTGATAGTCAGAGACAAATATCTGTATATGACACATATGTATGTGTTACGTACATATATTATTGACAATTTAATGAACATATTGTATATAACAACCAATCCCATTTCATGTTTTCCAAATTAGAAAAATAATGAAGCCATGTTTACTTTTTCTTTCATTTTTCATTCTACTGTTCTGCTTTTATTTCTTCTTTCGACCCCCTCTCTATTTACCTAGCTACCTTGACCTTATATCGACAACCTGGCACATGCAGTCAGTCATGGGTATAAATAAAGAAATTCTTCTTTACGATGGGTGTTACATGTATGCGTTTTCATTGAGTACTCCCGGGAGAAATCCTGTGCAATATGCTATTTTTGATAACGGTTAGTCGGTGATTTGTCAGCAATATCGCACAGGATTTCAATCGGGTGCTTTTATAACAAATCATATGGAGGACTGTTTTTTAAAAAAGTACGTTGTGTGATACAGTTAAATGCTGACTATTTTTTCAATGAATATACACTGTTTACAAACCTTTTATTAACTGCTGTTAAAGCAGGCGTATGTTCTCTCATGCTGATGTGCTTACAGTCACACTTTCAAAACATAAATTTTTGTTTTATTTTGCTATTATTACTTGTATTGGATATGGATGTGGAAACTAATTCGGGTCCGTCAGTAAATGAATTATCTATTTTCCATTTAAATGTAAGAATTGTAAGAAATAAAATAGAATATATTGAAAACCTTACAAATGAATTTAATATTTTATGTATGACTGAAACACATTTGGATATGAATGTACCTACTACTGAGTTAATTCTACCTGGTTTTGCAGAACCGTTTAGAAAAGACAGAAATTTCTCTGGCGGTGGTATCTTAGTATATTGTTCTAATTCTTTAAAATGTGTCCGGAGGAATGATCTGGAATTTCTGGACGGGGAAGTGATTTGGATACAGATTGATTTAGGCAATACTACTTTATTAATATGTATAGTTTATAGACCAGAAGATTCTGAAATTAGGAAAAGCATCTGTTCATGATACTATAAGTCATCACATGCTAAAATTTACAGCGAGTTCCGTATGCAAGCCATTAACAATCCTTTTCAATATGTCACTTGATCATAAGATATTTCCGAAAAGTGGAAAAAAAGGCATTACTTTACCTCTGTTCAAAAAGGGCGATAGGCATTTGGTGTCGAATTATCGACCAATTACTTTGTTGTCTTGCATAGGTAAAGTCTTTGAAAGAGTTGTTTTTAAATATATCTGTAATTTCTTTATTGATCATTCGCTATTTTATGAAAAATAATCTGGTTTTATGACTCATCATTCAACTGTTCACCAATTAATAGAAATGTATCATAGCATATGTTGTTCATTGGAAGAAAAAAAACATACTTGTTTAATATTCTGCGATATATCAAAAGCCTTTGACAGAGTTTGGCATAAAGGTTTATTACACAAATTACATGGTTATGGCATTAGAGGTAGTTTATTACAGTGGTTAGAAAATTACATTTCGAACAGACAACAACAGGTTCTAGTAAAAAAACGCATATTCCAAAATAAGTTATACAAATGCTGGTGTTCCACAAGGAAGTGTCTTAGGTCCTCTATTATTTTTGATATATGTAAATGATATTGTTGATAATTTGAATAGTATTTCACGCTTATTTGCTGATGATACCTCTTTGATGTATTCTTCATCGTCTTATGTTGATATGGAAAGGTCTGTTAATAGAGATTTCGAAAAACTTGATAAATGGTCTAGAAATTGGCTCACCAAGTTCAATCCACAGACAACTAATGTTTCATTAATATCAAATTCAAGAAATATTTTGCCCTTACAACTTACTTTTGGTAATGAAACCCTAAATTGTGTTAAAAGTCATAAACATTTAGGCGTGGTATTTAGTGCAGATGCAAAATGGTCGTTACATATATCCGAAATTCAAAAAACCTGTATGAAAAAGGTATCAGTACTTCGGAAGTTTAAGTTTTTATTGAGCAAGAAAACTTTGTTAAGAATATACAAAGTATTTATTTTACCTGTATTAGAGTATGCCTGTGAAGTTTGGGATGGTTGTTCTTTAGCAGATCTCACCAAACTTGAACACGTTCAGTTGGAAGCAGCTAGAATCATAACGGGCCTGCCCTCATTTTCTAGTAAACAGTCATTATATCATGAATCTCAACTTAAACCTCTGTCTGATAGAAGAAAACTTAAGAAACTTTCACTGATGTATAAAATCCACAATAAAGTAACACCCTCTTATCTAACTAACCTTCTACCTCCTAAAGTACACGAACGGAATACCTATCGAGTGAGAAACATTGAAAATTACACTGTTCCCAATTTCCGACTGTCTAGTTCATTTCAGTCTTTTATTCCGTCTGCTATTAGACTATGGAATGAATTACCTAACAGTGTTAGAGAACAGCCATCCATAAACAGTTTTAAATCATTTATTGTATAATGAAAATGACTTGTTACCTAAATATTTTGATGTTGGAAATCGT